CTTCCGAGGAGTGGCTGGTGGGTTTGAACCGCCAGCCGTCTGGTTAGCAGGCAAGTGTCTTAGCCACTATGCTACCAGAGCTCCTATATATTGTAGGCTATAGTAAATTCTAATAGTTTCTATTCTGCTGGTCAGTAGCCACTTAAATGTTTTAAAAACGTGTAACTAATTAACAGAATGAAAGTGAAAAATACTCATCTGTATTAGTAATTCCAACTAAGCACTCACTCCCCCTACTTTGTTATGAATAAATAACCTTACATGCTTATTTATGTGTCCTAAATTTTCTAGATACTTTATATTTGGCATATGTTTTAATTTCTCCAACAGCCAGTAAACTTCTAAGGAAGAAGGGTTTGTATCTTATACTTCTTTGTAACAGGGAAGAAGGAAAAAAAAAAAGGGGGTGGGGGACAGAGGCACAAGAGAATCACCAATTCCAAGAAACGGGGCATCTAAAAATGAAGGCCTGGACTGAAGTGTTCTTAACCATTTCTGAGTGACAGACACCCAGACTTACATTCCCATCAGGAAGGAAGGATCACGGAAAACTAAACACGACCTCTCTCCGTGCATCCCTGCAGTGTGACCCTGTTGAGCCCCTCTGACTGCTGGGGCTGAAAGCCCTATCTCCCCGGTTCTTTCCAGTACAGGATAGGAAGAAATCACCAAAGGATTTTTATTGCGACGCTGGAAGCAAAATGGGAGAGAGACAACGTTCCAGTTCTGGTGCTAGTAAGGCTTGGGCTTCTGCCGCGTAAGAAGACCCTCCGGCCGAGTCCAAAGCGCTCTCAACCCACCGTGCCTGCTGGGCCCTTAAGGGCTCACAGCAGCTTGGTCTCTCCGAGGATAGGGGGCACAAGGCAAGGGCATGACATGCAAGGACGTGTGGTGTCTCTTTCCACATGGGCTCCCAAAAGGTGGTAGTAATCCCGGCAACTCCGCTGGTGCTGGTAACTCAAAGGGGGTCTCGCAATTTGCGCCAGGGCAGCCCCAGAAGCGGACCAACCATCTCACGGATCCTTCCCCAAGGCCCGGAACGAAGTCTCACAGCCTCGAGGGCACACGGGTCCCAAGCCAGGAGTGGAGGAAGCGTTACTGGCTGTGTTGTCCCGGGGTGGGGAACCCGACTGCAGACATTCCCGCACCGTGGACCAGACTCACCGAACCGCAAGGCTGAGCTGGGTCGCGAAAGCCGCTGTCAAGGCGTGACCCGGAAGCTGGAGGTGCTGCAGCGAGTCTCTTCTGTTTACAGGACAAGAAGACCGACTAGGATGGGCGCCTGCGCATCGACCGGCGTCCGTAAACCCGGCGCGCCTGCGCAGACTCCTGAAGCACCCGGTGCTCCACCGAGGCCTGGTTCACGGTTTACTTTCTCGTTTTGCCGTAAAGCTTTGTGCGTGGGGCTTGTGTCCGCAGCCTGCCATGGGGATAAAAAAAAACGCTCCCGGGTCCTGGTTCTTGGGCCGACTTTGTGTTGCTGCGCCTGCGTTGACTAGTCCTGCGTTGGGGCCGTCAGTGCCTCGCCTCTGCCTTTCCACTGTCTCCTCTTGAGATCGGGCCTGGGCACTTATCCCTAGACTATTCTACCATTCTTAGCTACACTTGCTAAACCAAACATTTTGTCCACCAACTCCACATTGGTACAGTTGCTTAGGACACTGAACTTTTTAAGAAGATGTCTTTGGCAAATAAGAGATTTAAATCATTTATTCACAACGTTGGGACAAGTTTATGCTCCTTAGAACCACTCCTGGATATTGTCTACCCCTTACACTGAAGAGAAACTCAACCACCTTGGAGGTACAGCGCAAATGTTGAGAACTAAAACAGATGTAAATGCTGTCAGTAACCCTTCTTACCCAAAGAGAACCATACTGGCCTCTCTGAGAAAACCAAAACCAAACCCACTGCCATCAAGTTAATTCCGACTCAGTGACTCCCATTGAGTTTCCAAGGCAGTAAATCCTTATGGAAGTAGATTGCCCCATCGTCCTCCGGAGGAGTGGCTGGTTGAGTTTGAAAAGCCAACCTTCTAGTTAGCAGTCAAATGCCACCAGAGCGCCTTGGCACCACTGAGATAAATACTTTATGTGCAGAGTATAAACTTTTCAAAGCCAGTTGCTCATGGTAGTGAATATCAACAGCAAAGTGGCCCACAAGGGCAGTTTAACCAAACATCCTGTTTAACCAAGTATGCCCCAGCACTCCCAAAGCTGGCTCTAAGCAACAAAATCTAACCAGTTTGAGATTAAAGCAAGGGTCAGACAGTTCATGCAGCTCCTGCCCTATCTGAGGCAGTGGGAAGCCTGTTAAGTTCCAACTTCAAAGGATTTGTACTCTGCAGGAATATGTCCCCCTTCCTCCTTCCCACCCCACCAAGTGAGATGGTCCAGTTTTTCAAAAGAAGCTAAAATCCAGATTTTCTAAAAAGTGAATTATTGAGTTCTGGTAAGATGGCAGAATAGGCAGAAAGACTGCACAGACCCTCTTCAACAAAGAAAAGGGGAACCAATTAACACAGATACAGAAGATAATCCTGGACCTCTGAACGCTGAAGGGAAGGATATAGAAGTGGACTAAACTCCAACAAGCAGAAGAATTTGCATGAAAACACCAAAAAAGGAGACAGACAGAGCTGTGGTCTGGCAGTGATCCTGATGGCACAGACGGCTTGGATATTGCCGAGAGGTGGTAAGACCTAAGAATTAACCCAAAAATCGGCCCTGCTAGCCAGGGACTGCACGGAGGACTGCTCTGGTGGCTAGGGAAAGCAGTGGGCTTTCTGTGGACTTTTGCTTGTCTGGAGGGTGCAGCCATTTTGAATGTTTACAAGTGGCTTGACCATTTTGCATATTTAAAATGACAGCATTTTCACAGATTCCAGGGACTTAAGAAGAGGTTCAACTTGCCAGTAACCCCAAGGACATCCCAGACCCGGACAACTGGAAAGGTGCGACATTGCCCTTGTTACTTGTATATCCCACACCCGCTTGGTGAACAGAGGTGCAGCCTTCCCTCACTCCCACTCACCTTCAGTGCCCACAGGAACACCACCCCAGTCTGTGTGCTCAGACGGACCCTGGGTGCCCTACCCCTCATACACTGCTGGTGGGACTGTAAAATGGTACAATCACTGTGGAAAGCAGTATGGCAATTCCTTAAAAGTTGTAATTAGAAATACCATTTGACCCAGCCATTCCATTACTAGGTGTATATCCTAAAGAAGTGAGAGCCATGACAAGAACAGACATATGCACACCCATGTTCATCACAGCACTATTTACAATAGCCAAAAGATGGAAACAACCTAGGTGTCCATCAACTGAGGAACAGATAACCAAACTTTGGTATATACACTCAATGGAATACTATGCAACCCTAAAGAATAACCTAGAATCTGCAAAACACTGCATAACATGGATGAACTTGGAGGACATTATGCTGAGTGAAATAAGTCAGTCACAGAAGGACAAATATTATATTAGTCCATTATTGTAAAAATCAAGGAAAGGCTTATCTATGGAAGGAAATTTTCTTTGTTGGTTACCAGGAGTGGGAGAGGAGGGAAGAGGACACTGTTAGGTAGGTAGAGATAAGTATTGATTTGGGTGAAGAGAAGGGCAATGTACCAAATGTGAGTGATCAACATGGTGACATTGAGGAAGAGGAAGATATAGAAAGGTACATGGGAGTTTCAGACAACAAAGATGAACTCTTTTTGCATGTACAGTACTGTGTTGTCAGTGAAGGCAAACATGGGTATATGGGTGGATAGATGGGTGGACAGGTTGAACTATTAGGTATGTCTATGAAGTGGGGAGTGTACTCAAGACCATGTATAGGGTTGGCAGACAATGGTCCTACAAGTGTATTTGTATGATCTGAATTCCCAGGTGTATAGTAGAGCTGACAAGGAACAAGGTTGTAGTCACTTCTTGGTCACAGCCAGCTACCCAGAGGGATCAAGTAATTGAACCTTGGGCTCGGGACCATAGTCACAGGGGACATCAAGTTCAACTGGCATAACATACTACACAAAACGTTGTTCTACCTCCTTCTTTGGCAAGTAGCAACTGGGATCTGAAAAGCTTGCAAGCAGCCATCTAGATGCAACCATGGTTCTCTCCTCATCCAGAGCAAAGAAGAATGAAGAAACCAAAGATTCAAGGAAAAAATTAGTCCTAGCGATTGGTACACCATGTGATCCACAGCCTATATGACTATGAGACCAGAAGAACTAGATGGTGCCCAGCTACCAATGTCAACCACTCGGAGGGGGATCTATGTAGGAGACCCTGGATAGAGAGGGAGAACAATATGGATCAAAACTCAAAAAGCATTTGGGGAAAAAAAGTGTGTGGAGGGGACCAGTTTGCTCATCTGATAGAGCCTGGTGGAACTACTGAGACTATGGTCCCCAGCTGCCCTTCAGGTCTGGAATTGAACCCACACCTGTGACTTCCAGCCAAGCAAAAGACAGGCATAGGAGTTGAACATTTACCTGAGGTAAATACACTCCTTGGAGAGAACAATCATGGGAGAAAGAAGGGCTGTTTGTGCACAGGGAGACAACTCAGGGGGCAGGGGTCCATGGAGGGATGGACACAGGGAAGAGGTGACTGTCAGGCAGAAGTGGGAGGGGAGTTGTAGGACTGTTACTTTGTGCCTAGGAGCTCTGGTGGCGTAGTGCCTAAGGCATTTGACTGTTAACCAGAAGGCTGGTGGTTCAAACCCATCAACCATTTCTTGAGAGGAAGACTGGGCAATATACTTCTGTAGAGATACTACCTTGGAAACCCAAGGTGAATTTTGGTCAATGTCATGGGACAAAGTGTATGTGAACTGCTGTATGGAAAGTGAATTTGCTCTGTAAATTTTCACCCAAATCACACACACACACACACACACACACACACACACACAAAAGTGAATTCTTTCAAATTGTGAATGTTGGCAACAATGTAAAAAAAAATCGTTTTTAAAACCAAGCAGCATTCAGCCTTCAAGCTACTTCTACCAAACTCTAGATTAATGCCTGCTTTGGCCACTGGCAGCTCCGATTTCTCTATAAGGGGGCAGCCCTCTGATTGGAATGGGGCACCTGCAGGTTTACATGGGGGCAGCTTGAAGGTGGCCTGAATGATATTCTGTGGAGGCTAGAACCCTCATCCCCATCCCCAACCTACTCAACAGCATTTGATGGCATTAGAATGGAAAGAGTTTGATTCTGTGCCCATTGCTTCTAAACCAGCAATCTATGTCAGAGCCCCAAAGAACATTAAACTCCCAAACACAGGGACTAGATGCACCTGAGTCTGCTGATCCAAATTGGAGAAATGCTTTCTGGGAAGCTGATTTTTCCCTGGCCACCAGCAGAGGACAGAGAAAATCAAGCCATCTACATGTCTTGTCCAGATGAGAGGCATATCTACAGAAAATAGTGCCTGTGGCAAACACTGATGTTGTGTCTTTGTCCAAACATCTGACATCCATCTTTTGGATAACTTTTACCATAATATCAGCTCAAGAATACAAATCAAGATAGTGAATCTTTTACTTAACACATGTGGTACTACATGAAAATTACAACAGCAACTTTCTTGCTTTCATTGAAGAAAATTGCTCTACGACATGCTTAAAGTCATTTTATCCAATTTCTTCTCTTTCTACACTCAGCAGAGCAAGATCACACAGTCTGCCCTGACCCATGGTTGCTCTCAAGTATGAAAGTATTAGTTTTAACTTGTTGAATGATCTCTCCCAGCTGGTGACAGAAACTGCTATGGTTAAGAGATACCGTGGCACCCACCTTCACGTGGCAGATGCCATACTTGCCATACCTTCGATAGGCCTCTGGCAGAGACCTAACCCCATTTCAGTTAATATGTGTCAAATTTCCATATCTGTGTCTAAAACTGTGTGACTTACATCAATGGCCCAATGGTACCTTCTCCCCTGAGCCCCACCTGGATCCAACTTGGTTGGGAAATGATGAAGTGAGGGCAGTAATTAAATAAATTCCATTCCATGATGCTGCGGGTCCAGGCCTGTTAAGTCACCTTCTCTCTAGACCTAGTAAGATGATGCTCTGCTTGGCACCACTCACGCCTCCACACAAACTTTGTATTCCCTTCCAGCATTGAGGGGTTTAGTGACTATCTCTCTGGCTTTCATCTTACCAAGTCTAGCTCTACTGGGTCCATTGGTCTCTCTCTCTGAAATTCACTGCAAAACAAAAAGAGATCCCTACTTCCAACTATCATCTCTACAGCAGGAATGATAGAGT